AAACCCCCCCCCCCCCCCCCCCGGAAATAGTTTCTTCCCTCGGGCTCCTTGCCGCATCTCCTCTTCTTTTTTTTCTGGTTTCCACCGTTTTTCCTTCTATTCATTGCCTTTCCATCCCAGTCAACTCTTAATTAGGAGCCGCAACCCGGCCCAAGCACCAGACCTGCACACACCCCACACCGGTGCCTCCATATAAAACCCGGTCTGCTCGCCACTTATCTTATCGCCCCACAGCTCCCCTTCTTCTTTCTGAATCTGCTACGCCGCAACATACCAGTTTTCCGCTTTCAGCAACAGAAGAATCCGAGCACACAAAGCGCTTATAACCCGGCAGCCGAAACCACGCCGTGATTTTTTAAAAAAAAACACCTGCACCCTGCCTTTTCGACGCCTCTAGCCCCTGCTCTCCCACCAGCCGAGCACAGCCCAGATACGCGCTAAGAGCAATTAAAAAAGACACGCCAGCTGAGACAAGAGGGCACCCGAAACAACAAAAAAAACAAAAAAAAACAAAATGCAATTCGCTACTCTCGTCACCATTGCACTCTCGCTTTTTACAGCGTCCGCCGAGGCCAAGAAGTTCTCCACCAGTATGCAGAAAATCCCTCAGGACGAGACCCTCGACGCCTCCCGTTTCGCCGAGTACACCAGCGCCTTGGCCAACAAGTACTCGCAGGCGTTTGCCGCCGGCCAGCCTGCGGGCCAGGCCCCACAGCACGTGGCCGAAATCCCGTTTGTGGACTCGCAGCTGCAGCACGACGCGCCGTTGACCAACTACTTGAACGCACAGTATTTCACGGAGATTTCGCTCGGCACGCCCGGCCAGCCGTTCAAGGTCATCTTGGACACGGGCTCGTCCAACTTGTGGGTGCCCTCTAAGGACTGTAGCTCGTTGGCGTGCTTCTTGCACTCCAAGTACGACCACGACCAGTCGTCGTCGTACAAGGCCAACGGCACGGACTTCAAGATCCAGTACGGGTCCGGCGCCATGCAGGGCTACGTGTCGCAGGACACATTAACCATGGGCGACTTGGTGATCCCCAACCAGGACTTTGCCGAGGCCACGCTGGAGCCGGGGCTCGCGTTTGCCTTTGGCAAGTTCGACGGAATCTTGGGCTTGGCTTACGACACCATCTCGCAGAACAAGATCGTGCCGCCCGTGTACAACGCCATCCACCAGGGCATGTTCGACGCGCCGCAGTTCGGCTTCTACTTGGGCGACGTCAACAAAGACGAGAACAACGGCGGTGTGGCCACTTTCGGCGGCTACGATGAGTCCTTGTTCAAGGGCGACCTCACGTGGTTGCCCGTAAGACGCAAGGCGTACTGGGAGGTCACCTTCGAGGGCATTGGCTTGGGCGACGAGTTTGCCGAGTTGGCCAAGACCGGCGCGGCCATCGACACGGGCACGTCCTTGATCACGTTGCCATCGTCGTTGGCGGAGATCATCAACGCCAAGATCGGCGCCACCAAGTCCTGGTCCGGCCAGTACCAGGTCGACTGTGACTCGCGGGAATCCTTGCCCGACTTGACCTTGAACTTGGGCGGCCACAACTTCACCTTGACCGCGTTCGACTACACCTTGGAGGTGTCGGGCTCGTGTATCTCTGCGTTCACGCCCATGGACTTCCCAGAGCCCATCGGTGACTTGTCCATCATTGGCGATGCCTTTTTGAGAAAGTACTACTCAGTCTACGACTTGGAGAAGAACGCGGTAGGCTTGGCCCCTGTCCACTAGATGGCGGGCTGCGCCCACGTGTTTCGCCTCTGCATATGTTTGTAGGAATTAAACAGAAACCAAAAATTTCACAAAAAACCATCCACAAGGAGGCCCTGAGCGGCTTCCTCGTTCGTGTAAAGTCAATATTGGGATGCCGCCGCTATCCTCTCTTGACCATGCGCTCTCCACTATCTCTTCCGCAACATAGTTCTCTTACATCAAGAAGCTGTACCAACTTTAGTATTTCCCACGTCTAAGGTCTAGACACAGACTATCCACCCAAGCGTTTTCTGTGTTTACTTATGTTTGTCTCATGGAGCCGCTTATCCTCGACAAAATGACATTACTTTCCTGGTTGCCAAGTTTGTATCCATAATCTGGCCCAAATTCAATGAAGTTTTTCGCATCTACGTGAGACATTTCCCCTTATACTTTTTTACAATATGCTCTGGAATACGAAAAAGAGTAAATGCTTTTACTTTGAAACTGCTAAACTTTCAAAGTGTCTTGTAAGAATGAGTTATGAGGGTATAGGTTGTATCTCCCTTGGAGCATGTTCCTTATACATGTATATCTAGGACATATTAAAACAGTAAACAATGATCATGTTGCGTTTTACCGACTCATCGGCGTCTGTAGTGCTGCCAAACATCCTCGGGCTATATCAGCGCATCTCTAGAATTCGAATCATAAACTAAACAAAAGCGGCAATTATTGAAATTCCCCGCCGAAAATTTCGGCTTTACTGCCGATTGTGGTTCCGAGAATACGCTCAAATGTGCACTCGAACATTATGGATTCACATTGGTCAATAGCATGTCAGTGTGCGTGTGCACTACACAATTAAACAACTATGTTAATAATCAAGCAAACGAACCACTTGAGCCAACTTAAGAAACATTTAGCAGTAGTATAGGAATGAAACATCATCATGGAGGCAGTACAATAGCTGAAACAATCTTGGAAGAATATCTTGGCCTTTATGTTTTGAGATCGAGGTGCGCCGGCAGTCTGACCCGTGATAAAAGATGTCGTTCAATCATTTCCAGAACAGGGAATACTTTTTAAGCTCTGATTTAGAATAGGAGGAGGTGATAATCTATTTTTTTGAATTACGAAGAAAACATAGGTGCAACAACAATAAGAAGTTATGTGCCATAATATCTCTTCTCGCTTTTGCTCCTGCCAAACGGCACGGACTTTTATAGTTTTTTCAGGTATACATGGTATTCAGAGCTGCAGCAGTGGTTTTAGCAGCTATTTCACGGCATCTTTTTTGTAGTACAGACAGTTGAAACCATTGAGGATGGTGAAAATTGGTGCTCATGCATCACAAACCATTCTGGCAACCCCGATTTCGTATGGCCTTTTGCGGTAGAGATAAATTGAAGATTTGCTAGAGCAGAAAAGTTTACCCATTTGTGCTCTGTTCGGACAATTTGACTTCCGTCAAATCCCTCTGTGCTGGCTGCCCTGAAGAGATCACCTAATCAAGTATAGTAAAGAGCAAATGCGGTTTGGGGCGCAAAATGCCCGAAGCTTCCTAAATCTGAATACACACCAGTATTATGTCTCATAAATTCTCGTAAACATTACAAACTGCTTCGAGTGCCTTCGAAAGCAACCTACTATAAACCCGGAGAAAGCTGCATCTGACTCCTGTTGTCATAGCATAGAGCAAAGAAAATACGTAGCTATGGATGAGCATTGAATATCTAGCTGAAACTAGATGGCACACGGCCAACGACACGGCTTCATGATTTTTTACTCAATCCATGTGTCCACCTTGATAGTTTCCGGAATATGCGTCAAAGTGAGGGCGGCTCTGGCCAAGCTTGAAGCCATATTAGCATGTTGACTGGGGTTTATTGCACCGTATCGGAAAGAATCTGCGCAATTGCTTTAACCACAGACCCCTTTTAAAGCTTGTTATAAATATGTGGCAGCATATACTATGCAGAAGGCGGCAAGGATATATAACTCACCCTCATGGAGATGGAAATAGAACTCCAGCCATCAGAGCCATTTTACGCCATAGGCCTATTCCGAAAACGCAGTATGTGTCTCAAATACAAGATCCACTCGCATGACCAAAAATCTTTCGGGAGCACTCCGAAGCAATCTGAAAGCACTGTCCACTAGAAACACTACGCCTGCCTGTTCCAATGAAAGGATGCTTTACAAGGTGCGATATGGAGTGAAAATCTGGACGACTCCCGAGACGAAAATCCCCAGGGATAGAGTGTGGACTCAGGTGGATGTGCAAGTCAGACCACGGGGCCTGAGACTTGGAAAACGGCGAATTAATCTCAGACTCGTGTATTTTGCGGCCTCACGTCACCATGGATATTGGCATATATTGTGTGACCTGTATACATGCCCTTTGATCTGGGTTCAGGCAGGCTCGCGCCGCACATGTGCAGAGAGCCAGCCATCTATTATGATGAGCCAAGATCAGGAGGTCTCTCGGCAAGAGAAAAAAACCAGCCCCAGTATCGGTTCTTTTTCTAGAGACCGAGCTTTTTCCTTGATCCTTCCATCTACTCGATTTTGACGCTGTTCGTTGCGGTTTCGATTTAAGCGGCCCAATTACGGTTTTTCGGATCCCGCAGTCTTTCTCATATTCACAAGAAAAGTGCTGACACCAGCCGGACTTAAAGATCGCCCCGATTTAGAAATATCTCCAGACTTTGACATAAACTAATATCTTGAGAAATATAACAGCCATCCCAAAGCAAAGAAGAGCCACCCAAAGATTAGGCGCTGACTAGGCTAGGAATTCGAACACACCCAGCCCTCCTTCAGCCTACAGTGCTAGTCATACAGCCCGACCCATCCAGCCCAACTCATTCAGAGAGCCTACGGCCAGTCTACTATTGGCCCGAAAACACGAAAAAAAAAACAGCCACAGAAACACACCAGTCTGCCGCCGCCGCATCCAAACGGACTCGCAAATTCTCAGCTTATTTTCAGCCCATATTCTGAGCATATCCTGAGCCCATATTCTTCATAATTGGGCCGCCCCACCTGCCGATCCATGAGCGCCGCCTCCATCCGTACACCCGTGGCGCGCGCCCATTCGCACACCTCCTCTATTAGCGGCCTCAGTATCACCACGGATTCCGACGTGCTAACTTCTGTTCTTTTCCGCGGGGCCCTGCTTTCCCACAACTCACTTAGCGACCTGGTCCTGAGCCCCCAGTATGTGCGTGCAGACGCTCCTAATATGTCGGGGTCCAGCACGGGCTCTGCCATGGGCACCAATATGGACCATCTCATGGACCTGACTACAGGCGCTATGGACCATTCCATGAGCGCCAGTAGGGGCTACTCTGACGGCGCTTATGTGGACTCCCCGGGGGGCACAAATATGGCCCCCAATGCAGGCCCCGTTGCAAGCCCTTCCCGAAGCACCCGCGCCGGCCGCGCCGCGCACGTGATTTCCCGCGGCGCCGCGCCGCACTACCGCAGCGTGCCGCCCAAGTCCGCAACACCCATGTTGGAGCACGTGTCCACGCTGCTGCTCCTGTCCGGCTCCGTGGCCGCATCCATCCCCTTCTACGACCTCTCCCACTACAGCCCGCTGTTGAACACGCTCAACTTGCTCCAGCTGGACGACTCTGGCCAGGTTGTCGAGGGTGCCTATGTGCACCGCGAGAGTGGCTCCCACAGCCCCACTGCGCTGCTCCTGGACCAGTTCAACCAGGTGCCGCCCCGCTTCTCGCGCTTCATCTTGGACCAGCGTTCCGCCGCCACCGTGCCCGCGCCACCTAGCTCCAGGGACATCTCGTGGCTGATGGGCTCGCAGGCCACCGTGTTCTCCACGCGTGCGGACGGCCCGCGGAGACGCCATCGCTCCGTGAAAGCCACGCGCATGGACTCCACCGCCGGCGCCCCGGAAACCGCTCTGCTGCTCACGCGCCGCAGAGTCATCCGCTTTAAGCCCGGTGGTCGGCTTTACAGGCTCCGCCTCACGCTCCGCAAGCTCGCGTTGCGGCTTCGTCGTCGTCTCGGCGCTGTGCGCACGTTCTTCGCGGCACCACGCAAGGCATCGTCTAAGGTCCAGACCGCGGCCGCAAGGCCTTTCTTCGGGCGCCAGCGGCTGGTCCGCCAGGCCGCTGCGTCGCGCACCGGGCACATTTCTGCGCCACTCGCGAATCCGGGATTGGGCGCTGCTGGTGGCGCGCTGCGCGTCGCGGGGCTCACAGGGGAGCTCAAAGCCATGGCTGGTTTCACAAAGCCAGGTAGTAAATCCCCGCGCGCAACGACCCCTGGGCGGACCTCCTTGGCCAGATATGTGTCGGAAGAGAGACGCGCAAGCTCGCGTAACCTTGCGTCCGAGGCTGCCGCCCTGGACTCTTCAGCGCCGCCACCGCCCCCACCACACGTGGACGCGCTGTTTCGTAGATTGATATCGGGAGCCACAGAGCGCTCGGCGTTGCAAGGCGTGTGGCGACAGTACCTCGCCAATGTTCTTGCTCTGAGGATTCGCTTGAGACAGGAGGTTCACTTGTACCAGCGTCTCTTGGCAGAACAGCCCATCGCAGGCACTCCAAAGACGCTCCCAAGGACTGTGAAAACGCAACGAGCAACGACTCGGTCCCCTGCAAGGTGGCTGGCAAGCATCGCTGATATTAAGAGCTACAGGGCCAGCATTGTTCCCGGCAAGTCCAGCTCGACGGAGAGCGAGCACGACTCACTCCTCTTGAATGCCACTGCATCCAGCATGGCTCGTGCACCCGTTTCTGAAACGCACTCGCGGTTTACCACTGACACCCGGAAAGCGTCCGCCACAAGTGCGATACAGACAGTCAGCGATTTCTCATCCTCTTCAGTCGGGTCAGAAAGCGATGAAGAATCTATTGACGAGAAAATTGACCGGCTTCAGCAAGTCCTCAACCGCCGTTCTATGTTGGGGCAGATGCTTGATTACGACTCCGACGAGCTCGACTCCCTGGCTAGCTCCACGTTTTCTTGCGAATTGCTGGAAATATCTGTACAAGAATCAAGGAGAGGACAAGGGAGTAAATCCCCTCAACCTGCTGACACCCAGCTTATCAAAAGGTACGGCACACTCCGGAGGCGTCCTACGGATAAGAGCTCTTTCTACGGGAGTTCCAATGAGTCCTCACCCAGCCCCGACAGTCATAGTACGGAGATTGGAGTTATGTCGAGGTCCCCAGGTTTCAGTAATTTGCAGATCGTGTCGGCGCTTCCCGAAGAATGCTAGGTCCGTGACCTCCTAGAGAGCCTTCTTCAACTTTGCTATGTGCATATATTACGACTAATTCACGTTTAATTTTTGGCCGCGACAACAGGATACATACCATATTTCATTGTCTTTCTGAGTAGTTCGGCACGAACACTCGGTGCTTGGACACACTCATGTCGGAGTTATTTGTGTTTTCTTCGAAACATTCTCATCGACGAATTCAATGGACGACGTATTAATCCACGTTTTCGCTAATTCAGCAGTGTCAATCAACAATTTGTCTTCAAACTGGTAGAGTTTTAGGTGCACCATCAGTTTGGCAAAAATTTGTGTGGAAATGATAAAGAAGTTTGGGATATTATTAAACCACTACGAATCACGTGTTTCATCGTCAGAGCGCTTGCTCAGACTCACAATCGCTGGGTCTTTTTAACTCCACCTTCATTCTACTTCCACACAATGCGCGTCTCTGCTTCGCTTTTCGGGTGTAGTAATTCACTCTTATCTAATACTTCACTTATTTATATACAAGTAGAACAGCGTAGCACTATTGCACTGAAACTTAGTTCTTTGGCTCGGAGGATTCACCGGAGTTGTTGTTGTTCTCCTGGTTGCCCTCGTTTTTGTACAACTTCTCAAAAACCTTCAAAGAGTCGTTCTGCAACTCCTCGACCTTGGTCTTCAACTCAGCGGCGTCAACCTCCTCGCCGGCCTGGGCCTTGACAGCGAGCTCCTTCAAGGCAGCGATCTGCTCTCTAAGCTTGTCGGCCTCGGCCTGGTCGAGCTTCTCCTTGAACTCGTTCAAAGAGTTCTCGGTGTCGTTGCACAATTGGTCGGCTCTGTTGGCGGACTCAATGGCGTCTCTCTTGGCCTTGTCGGACTCGGCGAACTTCTCAGCGTCCTGGACCATCTTCTCGATTTCGGAGTCGGACAAACCGGACGAACCAGCGACAGTGATGGAGGCGTCCTTGTTGGAGGCCTTGTCACGAGCAGAGACCTTGATGATTCCATCGGTGTCAATGTCGAAGGTGACCTCAATTTGAGGCACACCCTTTGGAGCAGGAGGAATACCAGACAAGGTGAAGTTGCCAATCAACTTGTTGTCTCTGGTCAACTCTCTCTCACCCTGGAACACTCTGATCTCGACAGAGGTCTGGCCAGCAGAGGCAGTGGAGAAGATCTGGGACTTCTTGGCTGGGATGGTGGTGTTTCTGGAGATCAATCTGGCGAACACACCGCCCATGGTCTCGATACCCAAGGACAAGGGGGTGACGTCCAAAAGGACAACGTCCTTGACCTCACCGGCCAAGATACCACCCTGGATGGCGGCACCCATGGCGACGGCCTCGTCTGGGTTGACGGCCTTGGATGGCTCCTTGCCGAAGATGGACTTGACGGTGTCAATGACCTTTGGCATTCTGGACATACCACCGACCAAGATGACCTCGGAGATCTCGGAGGTGCTCAAGCCGGCGTCCTTCAAGGCCTTCTTACAAGGCTCGACGGTCTTCTTGATCAAAGGCTCAACCAAGGCCTCGAACTGGGATCTGGAGATCTTCTGGTTGATGTGCTTGGGGCCGGAGGCGTCGGCGGTGATGAAAGGCAAGTTGATCTCCGTGGACACGGTGGACGACAACTCGATCTTGGCCTTCTCGGCGGCCTCTCTGATTCTCTGGATGGCCATTCTGTCCTGGGACAAGTCGATGCCGGACTCCTTCTTGAAGGTGTCGACGATGTTTCTGACGACGGCAATGTCGAAGTCCTCACCACCCAAGTGCGTGTCACCGTTGGTGGACTTGACCTCGAAAACACCGGCGCCAATGTCCAACACCGACACGTCGAAGGTACCACCACCGAGGTCGAACACGGCGACAACCTCTCCGTCGTTCTTCTCCAAACCGTAGGCCAAGGCGGCGGCGGTGGGCTCGTTCACCACTCTGAGCACGTTCAAGCCGACGATCTTACCGGCGTCCTTGGTGGCCTGTCTCTGGGCGTCGTTGAAGTAGGCGGGGCACGTGACCACGGCGTTGTTGACGGGCTTGCTCATGTACGCCTCCGCGGTCTCCTTCATCTTGTTCAACACAAAGCCTCCGATCTGAGGGGGCGAGTATTTCTGGCCACGGGCCTCGATCCACGCGTCGCCGTTCTCGTGCTTGACGATCTTGTAGGGCACCTGGTTCAAGTCTCTCTGGACCTCCTGGTCCTCGAATCTTCTGCCAATCAATCTCTTGGTGGCAAACAAGGTGTTTTCGGGGTTGACCACGGCCTGGCGCTTGGCGGGGATTCCGACCAACCGCTCGCCCTCCTTGGTGAACGCGACGATGGAGGGCGTGGTTCTGCCACCCTCCGAGTTCTCGATGATTTTAGGGGTCTTGCCTTCCATGACGGCAACGGCCGAGTTGGTGGTACCCAAGTCGATACCGATGACGGGGCCGCTGGGCGCCGAGGACTGGTGACGCACAAAACGCTTGGCGGCGTTTTGACAGGAGTTTCTAGCTGCCAACATTTTTGAATTTGGTGTGAGTTGAGGATGTAGTACGAATTTTTTCTGGTGGCTCCGTGGCGCCCTGGTATATAGCCACGGGCCCGAAAATTTCGCGCGGGTTACCCGGCGCGGCGGCGGGTTCCAGAATTTTCCACCGCCATGCTCCATGCTGGGCCCGACAGGACGGCAGGTAGGGCAGGCGGCAAGAAAACGGACGGGCGCTGCATGTTTATTTTAAAAGAAAGTCTGGCCTGGTCTTTTTTTTTATTCTCCTCATATTTTTTCTCTTTTTGCGGGTGATTTCTGCCTTTGCTCTGGCGCTGGGTATTTGGGCCTGTTTCTGCAGGGCCATTGTTCTCCAGTTGAGAACATCGGTGCGCACGGGCGAGGTTGCGGCTGGCCTGCCCACCGGAACCGGCCCAGGCGCCGCCGGCTGCGAAACCGCCGGTCACGTGCCGCGCAGCTAATACAGTAATATTACATTGGCTCCTCTAGTCGTACAAACCCACGGCGCCACGCGGCTGTAGTCTTGCCTGCCGCCGCCCCGCCACTCCCGGCGCGGGCTCGTCACTCGAGCAAGTCGCTGGGGAGATTGCCGTTCATCACCCACGTGAGCGACTTGTCGCCCCGGAAGTCCTCGATGAACGCCTGGATCTCCTCCGCGGTCTTGCCGTACTTCTGCATCCCCCTCTCGATCGCGTCGCATAGCTTCTTGCGCCGCTGGAACCGCTTGGACTCCTTGGACCGCGAGTCGCCGCGCCACTCGTGCCGGCCGTAGCGCTCGTCCATCTCGCGCAACGGCGGCTGCCCGCGGAACCCGACCGTGAACTCGTCGTAGATCTCCTTCACGGTCATGGGGTTGTGGAGAAAGTCCACGGTCACCTTGGGCTTCTTGCGCCCGTTCATGCCGTTGATGTTCACCACCTCGAGCCCCGGCATGTCCACCACGGACATGGAGCGGTCGCTGTCTTCGCGGGCGCCCTGGCGGTCCTGCTGCGGTCGGGGCGAGTTGTGCTCAAGGAGCTGTGCGTGGCCCTGCTGTCGCTGGCCCTGGTGCTGTGAATGCTGCGAGTGCTGCGAGTGCTGGAGATGCGAAGAGTGGTGTTGGAGCTGCGTCTGCGGCTTCTGGAGCTGTTGCGAGTGCTGCTCCTGCTGTTCTTGCAGCAGGTGCGGGCCCTGGCCCAGATGGAGCTGGTGCTGGAGATGCTGGAGGTGTTTGGAGCCCCGGCCGGCTCTTTCCGCGCCGCCGCCAGAGGACGGCCCGAGCCGCGGGCTGCCGTCGTGCCCGTTCATGGTGCTGCGGGCACTGTTGATGTCGCCGGCGCCCGGGCGCGCCATGCCCGCGCCGTTGCTGCGCCCGGAGCCCACCTTCGAGAACGGCCGCTTGTCCGCACGCTTGCCGTGGAGCTCTGCCTTGGCCTGCGCCTGCACGGCGGCCTGGGCCACGTTGTGGAGCTGCGGGTCCATGTTGCTGTCTAGCAGCACGGCGCCGACCCCCACCGACGAGCCCACGGACACCACCTCCAGGGACAGGAGCGGCGCGAGGTCGCCGGTGACGTCATGCACCGGCCCGTGGCCGGCGTCGTGCACGGACTCGTGCACCTGGTCGTGGACAGGCTCGTGCACGTTTTCCGGGAGCGCATCGTCCACGGCGTCGGGGCCGTCGTCGACGTTGAACGGGTCACTCGCCTGGAGGCCCTGGAGCTGTGCCACGATGGGCGCCACGTCCTTGTTGTGGAGCAAGTCTAGTAGGAGCAGCGTCAACTTCTCGATCTTCAGGTTCTGGAAGTCCACCACGTGGCGGAAGTACGCCATGTCCTGGTTGACCGTGGCCACCTCGTGCTCGACCTTGGCCATGGCGTCCGCGATCTTGAGCTGGCTCTCGTGGAACGGGAGCATGGCCCCGGCGCCCGAGAGCTGCGGGAACCCGCCCGCATGCGGGTCTGCGCCGTGTGCGTGGTGGAGGGTGTGGTGCGGCGACAAGCCGTGCTGCGGGCCGTGCGCCACTAGCCCGGACCCATTGGAGCTGGGCCCCGGGAGGTTTTCGTCCACGCCCGAAACGTCGCCGGGGCGCGACGACGCCAGCACGGCGCCCAGCGCACGCAGCAACGCCTCGATGGGCTCGAGCAGCGTGCCGAGGGAGCTGCCGCCCAAACCGCCCGAGTTCATCTGTGTCCAGGGCTGCCTGGCTGCGAGGGGCGGGGAAGGCACCTTGCTGCTTGGCGGGGCCGACGGCGGTCGAGGCCTGGTTGTGATGTGGACCTGGCGGGGACTTCCGGGGGCCGGATGTATCGGCTCTCGGGAAGTCGAGTGGGGTCCTTCGGAATTAACTCGGGGAATCTGGAAATATCTCTAGAGATGGTCTCTGGAAATATCTCTGGAGATGGTCTCTGGAAATATCTGTGGAGATGGTCTCTGGAAATATCTCTGGAGATTAGCTCTGGAAGTATCTGTGGAGATGGTCTCTGGAAATATCTCTGGAGATGGTCTCTGGAAAAATCTCTGGAGATGGTCTCTGGAAATATCTCTGGAGATTAGCTCTGGAAGTATCTGTGGAGATGGTCTCTGGAAATATCTCTGGAGATTAGCTCTGGAAATATCTCTGGAGATTAGCTCTGGAAATATCTCTGGAGATTAGCTCTGGAAGTATCTGTGGAGATGGTCTCTGGAAATATCTCTGGAGATTAGCTCTGGAAGTATCTGTGGAGATGGTCTCTGGAAATATCTCTGGA